ATGCAGAAATAACTATCTCTGTTTAAATTGTTTAGCTTAGAAAACAACAAAAAAATAATAAACCTCATTTCTAAATCAATAGAAATTGTTCTCGCTTACTTATCAACGTATTACTTTACACTCAATATACATTTTAATATATCTTGAAACATATTTATTTCTCTTCATGTTGTGTTGTATCCAGCCGTAGAAACGCTATAGTATATCAACCTTGAATAATTCCATTTTATCAAAAGTTAAATGGAGAAAACCAAACATTGTTTTAAAATAAATCCTATGGAAACTGTGAGTTGATTATCTACCATTTCTGCTTATTGTTTATTCAAAGTAGATAATAATTAACCGAAATAATGCATAATTATAGTAGTGTAGTTGGAATTTCAATCAATACAGCTTGTACCACAGGAAATAAAATATTTACGTTGTACATTTCGAATAATCTGGTCACACATATACTTATCAGAAGGGGTTTGTGGAGATTTTTAGAAATTTTCACAGATTGAAATCATGAGTCAGTTGAAGCTAGACCACCATTGAAAACCTGGAAGCACTGGACGGCCGTTTCGTCCTAGTATGGGACTCCTCAGCAGTGCGCATCCACGATCCCGCACCTGTCAAATGTGTGTATAGTGATGCAAGTCTTGTAAAACTCAAATTTTACATTTTCATATGCAACTTTGCACTTCAGATTAGCAAGTTCATCTATCTGTTTAATGCAAGACGAAGAGAGTCTTTTCAAGAATTTAAAGCAATTAATCCCTTTTATAAATTTCGATAGAACAATGAGAAGACGGAATTGATCTGAAAAATCTCATGTATTTACGTTGTACATTTCGAACAGTCTGGTCACACATATACTTGTCAATTCAATGAAAGTTTACTTTTTTACTTGAACTTTCATTGAATTGACCATTATTAACTTTCATAGAAAATGCGCAGACAAGTATATGTGTCTAACTTCAACCAATCCACGAAGTTGCGCCGCCATATACCATTGTCTTCAGTGAGCTGATATCTCACAACAGGCCTGGTTGTACTCTACTGGTAACGGCTTCCCACTAGAACTCCAGGAGTATCTCTTGAAGTCAGTCACTAGTGAGCAGATGATGTGAGATATCAGCTCACTGAAGACAATGGTATATGGTGGCGCAACTTCGTGGATTGGTTGAAGTTAGACATTAACACCGTTGGAGTTCAAGTAAAAAAGTGAACTTTCATTGAATTGACCATTATTAATTTTCATAGAAAATGCGCAGACAAGTATATGTGTGACCAGATTGTTCGAAATGTACAACGTAAATACATGAGATTTTTCAGATCAATTCCGTCTTCTCATTGTTCTATCGAAATTTATAAAAGGGATTAATTGCTTTAAATTCTTGAAAAGACTCTCTTCGTCTTGCATTAAACAGATAGATGAACTTGCTAATCTGAAGTGCAAAGTTGCATATGAAAATGTAAAATTTGAGTTTTACAAGACTTGCATCACTATACACACATTTCACAGACAATTTTATAAATCCTTATGATCTAATAAATTGTAACTAAATGTTTCTAATCTTTTGCGGCTTACGAGATTTCACAAGGAAAAAATGTAATGGTATGATAAGTAAATTAATTGAACTTCCCACTCATACATCATGTGTATTATCGAATATTTCTCTAATATGTCATATTAAATGTATGAACTTTTGTAGTACAGTGGTTGCTAAAACAAATTACACTACTAAACAAAAGCTAAATAAATCTGTTATTGATGATAAGGATGAAAATTCATTTCAATTTAACCCTGATATTTATGTAACACATTTATCATCTGTCAAACTTTCCGTATTTGAGAAAGAAGCCTCATCTCTCGGATTTAATTTCTCCGTTGCATATGCCAAGATTTCTAATCTATCGATAAGTGCTCAATTCGAAGATCTTTATGATCAGTTGAACCCCTCTTGTTCAAACCACTCTACATAAGCAAAATTGGTTGATAGTGCCCACCACTTTCACGGTTCCCAAATTAGATACAGGAATATTTTGACTTCTAAACATTTCGCCGCTATACAAAACATCCAAAGCAATTCAGATATTGCGATCCACAGACCTGACAAAGGTTCAGGGGTGATTACTATTAATAAATGTGATTACAAAGAAAAAATGTTATCTATACTTGGTGAACATAATGAGTTCCTGCCGGACGTTCCATACGATATTAATGTTAGAAAATTGGAATCCAGAGTAAAGTTCAATCTACAAAAGCTTCTTAAAATGAATGTCATAAACAAAGAGGAACTTAATTTGCTAAAACTTTCTGGTTCCGTTCTCCCGAATTTATATGGATCGCTTAAAATTCATAAACCTATTAGTCCATTACGACCAATATTATCTATGCGTGGTTCACCGACACATGAACCGGCTAAATGGTTAGTAAAGTTGTTAAACCCAATTCGTAATAAACTATGTAGGTTTTCCTTAGAAGTTACATTTGAATTAATATTAAAGATAAGACTTTGTATTCCTTTAATGTAACTAAGACTGTAGATTCCCTTTGTGACTATATATCTACTAATTTTCTTATTTTTTCATATTCGGTCATCATTGTTGCAATAATTAATTTTCTTATGTACTGCAAATGTTCAGTTCACGTTTGAAGGTGCTGCTATGGGTAGCCCTTCTTGCTGACAGTGACTTGGATGAGTTAGAAGAGATTCCGGCAGTTACCAGATGCAGCTACTGCTTCCAACTCATTGGCACGCTTCGATCACCGAGTTTCTAGGTTCTTACGTAAGCTTTGCAGAATTTCACTATGTAACAGTCTTCGTTTGTGGTAGAGTAGACCTATGTGCTTCAACGAGTTGTAAAGAGACTGTAGAAACCCAGTGATTATAAGAGGGATGTTTCGCGAACTCACTGGTGTTGCATCATGCAATTGCACCCGATATTTATCCATACTTTTCGTTGGGTTGATAGCTGGCCTTGAACCTCGCTCGGTTTGATATCTAGTTACAACAGAAATTGCAGCTAACTTGCTGAAATCGATCCGTTTGGAGAGATGAATTTATAAGCTATTGAAACCTAAGATAAGGCTAGCCCAAACAAGGGCATGATCAAAATCAAGATAAGTACTCCAAAAGAAGCGGCAGTCATGTACACAATTATGACAGAGGTAGCTAATTGAAATGAGATTAATCTGAGTCCAGATATGAAATGCTTAGGGAGGACACCAGATAGCATATCGACGATGACTGTGCTGATAGTTAGTGCTAGCCAGAAACAGGTTGCAGTTTACGCCAAGTTTCGGTAAACGGTCACCGTTATCAGACCTACGATCAACAAGTCTTAATTGGCCATCCAAATAACTCTTCTATGTCTAGACGCCCAACATGCTCATTCAAATCTCCGGCCAGCAGTACTACTACAATATCTGTCGAATGCACTTTCTGCAGATCAATTAACTGTTGCTAGGACTCGCCATAGATTCCATCCGGGCCTTTGACCTAGAGGTCTAATATACAAAGCAATGACGCTAGGAAATGCAGCCCCATAGTAGTCAGCAACCAACAGAAGGTTCATACACCATTTGTTTCTTCAGGATCCTGGAATCTATGCGCACTAGTGGATCCGAATCACACTCAAGACTACTAATTTTAAACCAGGACTTTCCAACTTCGTTAGAGGATCTTCCGTACCCACCAACCTGATTAAGGCGCGAGACATTCGCTTTCCGTCCTCTCTACTTTGTAATAAACACCCCTTCTTATATTTACCTTCAATCAGTGGTTACTTAGTATATACTTATTTTGAATAAACCGGTCACTTTCATTAATTAACTAAATATACAATATCACATCGAGTCCCACATTACTTTTGTCGGTAACTTTTAATTCCTAAGATAACGAATTTTACAGATTTACTGCCAGCGATAGCTGTCTAAAATCGGATCGCAGCCACGTCGGGTAACTGAGAGACGTCAACTAAAAGTACAACTACTAGAATCTCTCGAGATACTTATGAAGTCACATTAAAAAACCCACAGCATCTCAGCTATGACTTAATTGACTAAAAAGATCAAAATGAAAATACGTAAGATCAAGGACGTAGACAATGACTAATTACTGTCAGCTTGCAGTTTATAAAACCAGTCACTTTAACTATACTTGTTGTCAACAAATGAAAGTTCTCTTTATTCTCAGGTTATTTATCCTTCGTTTTACAAATGTGGAAAACTCGGGCAACAAAATATTATTTTCGAATCGTTGTAAAGAAATACGATCTAAAACAATCATTATCAATGTCTACCAATCGTTAAGTCTTTCGACAAAATCTAATGGAAAATATCCTTACCAAGGAGTGCAGTTTGTGTGATGAAAAGGTGGCTTACGATAGGAAATTATTTGTAGTTGTACAACAGAATGATGCTTATTTGTGGTTTCATTATTGTTAACAGTACAGATGGTTCATTATATGATCGAATTAAACAAACACTTAGGTGATGTACAAAAAGTAGTGGTGGTGACTAAATGTACACCTTTCAACCACAGTTCAGTTGCAACATGAGGAATGGTTTATTAAACCGAGTTCCATAGGTGAAGACAAAAAATTCTATTGTATGGAATGGACCATACCAAAAATTATGTATACATTATTATTCTTATTTGACCATCCAAATAAAATCAGTCAGAGCATTAAAAGACAAAAAGTAAACAAAGGATACACAACATACACAAACAAAAAGAATGCATTAAAAATATAAACAGTAAAGAGGGTTAATTCCTTGGTATCGTTTTGTTTTCTTTCATTTTTTCCATTCTGTTTTGCAATTTTCAGTAAATGCATACACAGATAAGGGCATATACATGATAACAATAAAATACAACATGTGAAAGACACAATTTAATTGATTCATATTATTTTGAAAATGGCAAGATAGACTGTCTTCCAAAAAAAGGAATAAGAAAGTAGATAAGTAACAAAAACAACAAGATGATAAAGAAAAGGATGACCCATCATTAAGGTGTTGTAGATGGTTCAAGTAAAGTTCTCTGAGAATTAGAAACCCAATCACGTTGTTGTATACTATTTTCATAAAAAGATTTTGATGTGTGATTAAATAGTGGAATCAATTCATAAGCATCTTGTGACTGTCTTTTTAAGTAAATCAATACTGATGTACCTACACCTTCAATAGAATGCAATTTTAAATTACCACCTAAATATCTAGCATACAGTCTACTTAATGGTAAACCATGTCCTCTTCCAGCAATAGATAAACAGGCATTACGTTCTGGTTCAACTTCACATGTCATTCGATCATTTACTGTAACCTGATTGGCTGATTGAATTGTTGAATAGTTATTCCCAAAATTTAGTACAGTAGGATGTAGATTTGCAGAATGAACAGCTGTAGTATAATTGTATCGAAACGTTTTTTCGACCATATTTAAAGCCATTCCTCCACCAAAATCTGTAATCTGTAGGAATGGAAAACAACTTCAAATTTACTGTCAATATGGCAACATAAGATTGAATAATTTCCTGGTTTATTTCACTCAATTTCTAATACAAAACGGTAGAACATTATTAATATATTTATCTGAAATTCTAATACTCCCACCTATGATATGGAAAGGCAAACAGAATGATATAGAACGTTGCACAGAAGTAGCTAACATAAATAACGACATCCTAATCATACAAACACACTTCATCAATGAAAAGAGTATAGCATTTTGGCCAACCTCAAACAAGCCAACTGTATCAATCCCAATATTTTATCAGAAAAAACAGGTATTTCAATTAAAAGCCTAAGAAATAAATTTAGAAACTTAGGTCAATAACTGAAAGAAATACAACAACCTAGCCAAAATAGTTCAGTTAAATAATCAATAATCGGAACTTATTCGGATTATGAACGATAAACTTCAAAATGGTATACAAAAATGAAGACTAGGAGACTGTCAACACTTTAATTATGTGCAAGAATATATGAGGACATAATAATAACCGTTCCGGAAAAGAGCAAACCTGTCACCAAAATTCAATTCATTTCTCAGCAGTAATCATATGCAAGTAAACTGATTTTTCAGTTATAAAACCCATGAGTGGAAACAATCAAGTTAGAAAGATTCGGTTTTAAAGAGAATAAAAAAACACATGTTACTCGAAATATCAAGTATATACTATTGTATTATCACACTATATCAAGTGAAAAAAGTAGTAGGGAACTGGTTGAAAAAACATAGTTAGTGAACGATGAGAGAAGAGTTTATGACACTATGCTTAAATAATATTTAAGACATCTGAGTGTGTTGATCACTTGATCTTCATGAAATGACACATGACAACCTTAAAGCGAACTCAAGCATGTTCAAAACAGAGAAATACCTCAGTCAGTCAGTAACAACGTAGAACTTCGTACGTACGTACGTACATCAGTTCGAGTTGCCATACCACATTAGCACAGAGATGCAGTTGTCGATTCAAATCCCGTAGTGGTAGAGGTAGTAAGAGTATAAGCAGTAATCGGGAAGATTAGGGTTTGGAGATGTTATTTAAGGAGTATAATCCAGTGAAATAAATTTGGAAAGAGGTGAAAAAGGACATGAAGAATTCAGAAGATTAGAATTTGGGAGAACACAAAGAGTGGATGCACCTTCGTCATTGCAAACGATTTGGAGCCATGTCATTCAAGGTCTCTAACCATCGGTTGCTATCATCTCACGGTCCCCAACCAGGTAGTCTACACCTACCAACATGACTCCGTTCACTTATCAGTGACTTCATGGACTTGTGCCATGTTTTGGTTTGGCCGCCCCTAGCTTCCTTCCAACCTACTCCTATACCACTGAACATAGCATGTCGAGGCAGTCGGTCGTTGGGCATACGTAACGTGTCCCAGCCATCTCAACTGATGAAGTCCCACTACGCCATCAATTGATTTGCCATCCTTACCTAGTACCCGTTTCCTAACAACTGCGTTACTTACTTGATGGTCCCAGGATATACAAGCAATGTTTAGGAAACACCTATGATCAAATACTAGTAACCTACGAATATCCTCTACTCTTACCGGCCATATTTCATTGCCATAAAGTAGGACGGAACGAACTGCTGCGCAGTAAACACGTCCTTTGGTTGATAGACGGATATCTCGCCTACGCCATAAATGACGCAAGTTGGCAAAAGCTAGTCGAGCCTTCTGTATCCGTGCTGAGATTTCGTCACACACCAGACCACAAGGGCTGATGAGACTTCCAAGATAAGTGAAGCGATCGACACGCTCAATTACCTCACTCCCTATCATTAGGTCGGGTGTCAATGCAACCCCACCCTGAAGCAACATTTTACATTTCGAGGGGGAGAATCACATACGAACATGCTTGCATTGTTGCTTAGAGTGGTCAGAAGACTCTGCATTTTGTCAGCGTCGTCACCAAATAGAACTATGTCATCAGCATATTCTAAGTCAACGAGTGAACCTCCTGGTAGAAGTTCAACCCCTGGAAATTTAGATGAGGAGAGTATTATCTCTAAAAGTACGTCAATGACAAGGTTGAACAAGAATGGGGAGAGTGGACAGCCCTGACGAACACCACTTGAGGTAATCAATTCTGATGACAGTTCGCCATAAGCTCTCACTCTACCAGTTGTGTTCGAGTAGAGAGCCTTTATAAGGTAAATTTACTTCTTCGGTACTCCTTTCAGTGACAAACACTGCCATAGAACCTCACGATCAACAGAGTCGAATGCCGCCTTAAGGTCGAGAAATACTACCATTGTGGGGCGTCTGAATGTGTGTCTATGTTCTAGGACCTGACGTAGTGTGAATATCTGATCTATAAAACCACTTCCAGGTCGAATACCAGCCTGTTTTTCTCTAGTCTGCTCTTCACGAGCTTTGATTAGGCGTCGAAGTATTATGGAGGCTAATATTTTAGACACTATATTAGTCAAACTGATTCCTCTGTGATTGTCACAAGAGGACTTTTGTCCTTTCTTATAGACCGGCACAATCAGTCATCCTCACAGATTGTTTCGCTCACACCAAACTTCTTGTTGCCAGTGGCTCGGATGAGTTGTAAAAGCTTCCGGTAGTTACCAGATGCAGCTGCTGCTTCCAGCTCATTAGCACGCTTCGACCACCAGGCTTCTCGGTCCTTACGCAAGCTTTGCCCAATTTCCTTACGTAACATCCTTCGTTTATGGTCAAACTCACGGTCACCCGGAGTAGACCGACGGGCTTCAATGAGTTGTAAGGAACCAGAAGAAGCCCAGTGCTTAAAAGCGGTACGTTTCGCAAACCCACAACTGACTGTTCCCGCCATTTTCATGGCGTCATGCAATTGCAACCAATGCTCATCTATACTTTTCGGTGGAGTGGTAGTTAGCCTAGAGGCTAGCTCGGTTCGATACTTACTTGCAACAGAAGTTGCAACCAGCTTGCTAATATCAATCCGTTGATGGCGGTCACTTCGTTGTCCACTGAAAAGTAAGGCAAGATTGGCGCAGATCAAGGCATGGTCAGAGTCCAGATAGGTACTCCAAAAGGAGCGGCAGTCTTGTACACAACCACGCCAGCGGTAGCTGATCGCGATGTGATCAATCTGAGTCCAGGCTAGAGATGCAGAGGGAGGACGCCAGGTGGCACAGCGGCGATGACTGTGCCGAAAGCTAGTGCTAGCCAGAAACAGGTTGTGGTCTGTGCAAAGTTGCAGTAGACGGTCCCCGTTATCTGACCTGCGACCAACGAGTCCCCGTTGGCCACCTAAACGACTCTCTTCTGTGCCTAGACGCCCGACATGAGCATTCAAGTCTCCGGCTAGTACTACAATATCTGTCGAACGCACTTTCTGCAGAAGAACAGATAACTGGTGGTAAAACTCATCCTTGATTGCATCCGAACTGCAATCTGTCGGGGCATAGGCGGAGATGACGAAAAGACAACGTTTCTCACGCCGATTTCTTCTCACTTTGGTGGAACTTTCAAATCTAACAGCACATAACCGACTGTTAATGGGGATCCAATCGACTAGTGCTGCCTCAGCTCTAGCGCTTAGTGCGACACCAACGCCAGCGAGACCAGACGAAGATGCCACAGGGTCCTCGGATAAGCGCACGTAAAACAAGCTTTTTGAAGTGACAGATGTAGAGCGAATTTGTAGTACTTCACCAGAGTATTGAATACGGGTCTCGGATAGACAGTAGACATCGATATTAAGACTTTCCAAAGACATAGCCAGCCCTATCTGTTGACCAACCGGCATAAGTGTGCGAACGTTGAAGGCAGCCAGTTTGAATGGGGCACGTGGTTTCAGAAAAACTGCTTCAGTCCTCGTATTTGGTGGTAACACACAATTTTCAACCGGACGGTGACTCGAGAACGTTTAGATACAACCGAGTTTCCACCATAGACGAGCTACTGCATAAGTCGAAAAAAATAAGTATAGACAGAGTAGGAATGAAAGAGGGTGAATAATGACATAGTAAATAATAATAATAATAATAATAATAATAATAATAATAATAATAATAATAATGACAATAATAGTTATAATAATAGCATTAATAATGACAATAATTGTAATGATAATAATTTGAATCAATTGATTGTTTTTCGAAGCGAGAAAAGTAATTTCCATAGACATAGAGAGTTCATCATTTGTGTAAGTAATGGCGGTGTGATCTATTTGGGTCCAACGTTGGGACGAATTAGGGGGTCGCCATGTTAAAAGATGTTTTTTCTTATGCTTAAAGTTAGTATTTGCAAGAAAGAGGCGGTTATCTGAGCATAGCTGCAGCATACGGTCACCATTACCTGTTCTCTGAGCCACGACACTATAAGATCCACCCAGATGTCTTTCCCTCTCACTTAGTTTACCTACTTGAGCATTAAAGTCACCGGCCACCATTAATACATCCGAGCGCCAGGCTTTTCAGAGAAGGTCGGAGAGCTTTCTGTAAAACTCATCTTTTACATCATCCGAGCTGCAATCAGTGGGAGAATAGGCAGAGACGACGAAGAGGCAACGACGAGTGTCCCTATATTTTCGGATCCTTACTGTTCCGTTTAGTCAGACAGCGCACAAACGACTGTCTACTGGGATCCACTCTAAGAGAGCTAGTTCTGCCATAGGACTCAATGCTATACCTACGCCGGAGAGGCCACGGGAAGCAGAATCTGGGTTTCCAGATACACGAAGTGTGAATCGAGTTGGTTCTTTATTTTGACATGGTGAGGTCAAATGAATGACGCTACTCGGAGACGCAGCACACATCGATGGCGCAAGATTTTAAAGTCCTAGCTAAGGAAGCTTATTGTCCTATTCGGCAGTGTTCGGACGTTGAAAGCTCCTACGTGTAGTTTAGAGCGTGGTTTCAGATCAGAAATAACCTTCCGCGTACTCGAATCGCTTGCCCTGGCGGTGAGGTGATAAAGGGACGTGAGAAGGGTTAGTCGTGGAGATAAAAGTTA